TTTTATATATTCCATGAGTTTGTTAAATATCTAGATATTTTCCAGATTACACACTTAATATGGAACAATGATTTAAGCTACTTGTTACTGCCATTCTCAATCCTCACTTTGTATAGATTGTATTGGTCATGGATTTTCACCAAGAATTGCTTTATGGGGATCAAAGTTATGTCATTGAGAGCTTTCTGTTCCATCATCTACCATTATCAAAAATGCTCACAGATAAGTGGCAAAAATTTTGCTTTTTCCAGCCTTTCTTCTCCATGTCTTCATTTTGCAAACTGTTAGATGTGTAATTCCCATGCTTTTCAAGAATGAATTCAGTGTTTCAGGAAATCAAAATTTATTGCTGTCAAGTCATTACAAGTCATGGGTTCAAGTTTCCCAGGTGCAGCAGAGGAGAACTGTGTTCAATAGGATTGCCAATGACTGGATTTTCAGATATAGGCTTTTTTTCCAAGGTGCCTCTAGGCAAACTCAAACTTCAAAAAAGATGAACTATATATTCCATTCCAATACCAAGACGATGTGATTATGTGAAATGTGAAATTATAATTGTTGTTATTAAGCATTGTCTAGTCAGTTCTGACCCATAGTGACCCTGTATAGAGTTTCCAAGGAACAGTTGGTGAGTTTGAGCCACCAACCTTGCCATTTAAACCAAACTTGTGGTTGAGTGCATATCCTACAGCCAACACACCAGTCTCTGAAAGAACAATGTTGTTGTTAAATACTGTGGAGTCGGTTCCTATCCATAGTGACCCTGCACTGGGTTTCTGAGGCTGTAAATCTTATGGGAGGAGAAAGCCTAATAGATGAACATTAATTTTAGGCTAAAATGAAAGTTCAGACCTTTCCATGCAAAACGAATTGATATAAAGCTAAAAGTTATAAAAATAAAAATATGTGAGGTTTTAAGGTAAAAAGCAAGATATGTAGTTTAATAATATATAGGATGGAATATGCAGTTCTGTACATGTGTTTTGAGTGTTTAAGATCCTAACTATTCTGCTCCCTAACTTTAAAGTACCTGACTTTTTCAAGTTTATACCTTTACACTGGAATATGATCTTCTTAATGTGTTCCTCCTTTTTTTTTTCTGCTAAATTGAGGATTTTGTAGACTAGAGTTCAGTGTTTTTTCTTTTCACAATTCCCACTCTTCTGGGTAAACCAATAAGTGAGAATTTCAATGACTCCGTGGCACTGTGGAATAGTGTGCCAGACTGCAAAGTCGTTTGAACTGCAGGGTCGATGATTCAAGCTCACCAGCTGCTCCTTGGAAGGGTCACTATAGGTCAGAATCAACTCAACAGCACTTAACAACAACAACAACATCCTTTCTCCAGTATTTGGGCCTCTATTTCCATTTACTGGAACTAAGCTATGCCCATACGCATTAGCCTACCCCAGGAATGTTGGACACAACTTTGTACCTGTAACAAATCCTACTGAAATATTAACTAGGCAAAGTTTAAAGAGAAAGTCATATTTTATATTGATATAAATATGAATGTACTACAGGGTAGAATCCAAAATACATAAAAATCTTTAGATGATGATGTGAAGTTTCAAATAAGATTACTTCTGTATGGCAAAATATCATCACTGTAAATATAAAGGGACTTTAAAAAGTTTGTGGAAAATAATGGAATTTTCCCACAAACATTTAGAAGCCCAGTCAGATTTTTCCAGAAAAATATAAAAGAACTCTGCTTTATATACTATTAGAAAATAAAATACACATCAGAAGTATGGATTAGTATTTGTGTGTGAACATTGTAACAGAAGTGAAATTAGTTTAATGATTGAAATGGTCATAGAAAAACGATGAGAGTAAATCACATGGATCTTCAGTACCACCACCACTACCATCACTCAGGCCTGTCTACATCGTCTAAACCTGTCCCAGGTGTTTCATGGCAATGGTTTTCCTTCTTCTTATGTCAAGGGCAACTGTATTATTTATCTTCTTCATCAACATGCATTGTTTTGCATTCTCTTAAGATATTAAAGTGGAGTCCTGGTGTGACACTGTAGGTTAATGCACCAGACTACAAAGCCATTTGAACTGAAGGTTGGTGGTTCAAGCTCACCAGCTGCTCCTCAGAAACCCTATCCAGGGACACTATGGGTTGGAACCGACTTGATGGCTCTTAACAACAACAACAACCTTTACAAATAGTAAGTTATATTTGGAAGGGAAAGAGGAAATCAATTAATATTTTGGTAATTTACCTGGGATTAGGACAGGACTGCCAGAGCCACAATGTCAGCAGTTCAAACCAACAAGCCACTCCAAGGAAACCAGGGATGCTATGAGTAGAAGCAACTCCATAACACTTAATAACAGCAACAACCTACCTGTGCCAGGAAACCATATTGCATGCTTTTCTTAATTTGATCCTCACCAGACTACTTTCCAAGTCTTCCTGTGGTGCTGTGGGTTAATGTGTAAGACTGCAAAGCCATTTGAACTTCAAGGTCGACAGTTCAAGCTCACCAGCTGCTCCTCTGAAACCCTACACAGGATGGCTATGGGTGGCAGCCTACCCAATGGCACATAACAACAACAACAACAAGATTCACTTCAGGCTAGTACTTTTCAGCTCAATTTAACAAATGAGGAAACTGACATCAGTTTCCTCATTTATCAAATAGAGTAAGAGTTACTTACCCACTTTTAAGGAGCCCTGGTTGCCTTGTGGATTACAAGCTGGGCAGAAGAAAGAGGCTGCTTTCTGCTCCAGTAAAGATTTTACAGCCCGGTAAACAAACCCTATAAAGAGGTGCTAGGAATCAGAACAGACCACCACCACCACAATGACCACTTTTAGTAAGCAGCAGAGGCTGGATTCAAACCTGGTCTTTCTGTTTAAGTTCTCTGAATAGTTTTCACTGTGTCGCTTGCCTCCCACACTACTGTCTTCTCAGACATCAAGAATCCTGACTGCTCAGTGTTCTTCATGATTTCTTTAAAGAGATGAGTGGGCGTATGACCTTGTTTCTCTCGCTCTCTCTCTCTCTCTTTTTTTTTTTTTGTCTGAGACACATCCTTTGAAAGTTAAGCAAAAGAAATTTTTCAAGTTACTCCTAATATCTTCCGGGAAATTAACATTTCACTGAAAATAAGCAGTCTTGTCCCTGTTCCTCACCTCTCTCTCAAAGTTGGTTTAAAAAGAGTAAAGGAGCACTGGTTAGGGAGCACTGGGCTGAGTTCCAGCCTCCATTCAGCTGCTTTTTTCACCTTCAGGTCATTCTTTTCTCTGAACCAGCAGTTGTTTGGGCCAGGTCATTATAAGGTTTCTTGCAGAAGTGCACGTCTGAGGCTGGGGGCTTTCCTGAGTAAGATCACTCCACTCCCCCCACCCGGCTGCAGTTAACTCTTTCAGCTGTCTGTCTCTCTGTGGAGGCTGCTCACACCCAGCAACCGCCATCCCTCCAAGGATGGATTACCCCCAAAAGCACAGTAAATCTGAAAAAGAGGCTTTGATTTTGAAAAAAAAAAAAAAATGTGCTATGAGGTTGAAAGAGTAACAGACGCCAGTCATACCTATTAGCAGAATCTTTGATGTGCTAGCAAAATATGAAATTATTCACTATGGGTTAGTTAGCAAGCACAAATAAACCCATGCTTACCTTGTTTACTGGGTAATCCGACATTGCCTCCCCCACAGCAGCCCCATTTCTTTTTGCTTCTCCTACCATGGCAAACTGAACTCCTTCTCCTAGTTTCCTAGAATTGCCTCCACCGGACAATCCCACCCCTAGGCAAAGTTCCAAACCTGTGCGACTCGCAGGCGTGGCCTGCACGGGAAGGAGATGCTGCTCTGCTCTCTCCCCACACAGGGGAACTAGTCTCCAGTTCTCTAACTTTTTCCTCCTCCGGGGGCGAATTCTGAAAACTCTGCAACGAGTTTGACTATAGAAATGCAGACAGGAATGGGATGCTAAGCAATGCACCTGGCCACCTAACTCCTTGCTCCTAGGCCTTCTATTCCATTTCCTCGTGGTGTCCCCCTACCCAGACTCCTTCTCACGGCAGGATCCCGCGCCTCGAGGCTCCCAGCGCCCAAGAGGTAGCACTAGCCACAGGAACGCTCCAGCAGCTCTGGTCCCGCACCTACAGATTCCGGCCGTTCTCACTGCGCAGTAGCCAAGCTCACCGCCTGGCCTCTTAAAGGCTGAGAAAGGTCCTCGTAGGGCTTGCAGCCCCTCCTGCTGGGTCTCCCCACTCCGGGCCTCGGCTCTCCTCCTTCCCTGCTCCCTCCTCCTCTCCTAGGCTGCCGGGCGGACCCAGCCTGCCTCTCTCTTTCCCCGCCTTCACTACCGGGTCAAGCTGCAGAGGGAGGGAGCGGAGAGAGCAGCGAAGCCCTCCCTGGCTCCCCACCCGGAGCGTGCGCGCCCCTCCTCCCTCTTCAGGCTGCTCCCTCCTTTTCTCCTCCCCTCTCGCCAGTTACAGTACAACTAGTACACACACCACATACATACACACACACACACACACACACGGACCCTGACGTTGTCACTGCAGCTGCCATGGATATCAGCTAACAACACACATCCAGGAGCGCGCGCGCGCTCCCACTCGCACCACGCAGGAGTGGCCCCCGGCATCCCTACCCCTCCGTCCCCACCCCCACCCCACCCGCTCACCAGCTAGGCTCGCTCCGGCAGCCGCCGCCACCACCACCACCACCACCACCACCACCACCACATCTCTCCTCTCTCGCGGCCACAGCCTTGAGTGTCATTCAAGGGACAGCACAACCTCACCCAAGCTTTCCTACCTCTGCCCAGCGGTCCCTCTCATCCTTTCTCTTCCCTGTCCACACTCCATCCAAAGAAGAGCGAAAGCACCGAACAGACGGGGGTGGAAGGCAAAGTCTGCTCTTTTCACCTCTTGGCCCCCTTGTTTCTCCATCCTCATCCTAAACCAGCCTTCTCCCCACCCCCGGCCCCAAAGGAATCCCAGGAGCTGAGGCGACTCACCCCACTGCCATGTCCAAAAGCTTGAAAAAGAAAAACCACTGGACCAGCAAAGTCCATGAGAGTGTCATTGGCAGGAACCCGGAGGGCCAGCTGGGTTTTGAACTGAAGGGGGGCGCCGAGAATGGACAATTCCCCTACCTGGGGGAGGTGAAGCCTGGCAAGGTGGCCTATGAGAGCGGCAGTAAGTTGGTGTCGGAGGAGCTGCTGCTGGAGGTGAATGAGACCCCTGTGGCGGGACTCACCATCAGGGACGTGCTGGCCGTCATCAAACACTGCAAGGACCCCCTCCGGCTCAAGTGTGTCAAGCAAGGTGAGCGCGGCGTCTTGCTAGGTGCTTTGTCAAACTGCGGGACCGCTCGAGGTGCAGGGCAATGGAAGGGTGGGCACGCGTGTGGAAGGGGGTGTGTTACACCATGGTGGGGTGGGGTCCAGAAAGGACTGGCAGCACTAGTGAGCTTTGCTGGGTGTCTCACCCGGGGGCTAAAGCAAGGGGAGGGGCAGGTTGCGGTGTGGAGTGCAACTTTGTTTGCGCAGTTAGACCCTCCTCGTTGGGAACAGCTCGGCCTTGTCTGACCTCCTCAGAGGTACAGGGGAGCTCCCGGGACATATTGAATGTGCGTCAGTGGCATCACCCGCAGTGAATTAAGAGCTTCTGGGGAAAGAAGGAAGGAAGGAAAGGGGATAAAAAAGGAAGAAGAGAGAGGAAGGAGCTACTTGAATGTGCGGCGGCATCACTAGCAGGACGGGGAGGAGTAGAGGGTGGTGGGATGAGCAGAGAGCTGTCCCCCTCCCCACTCCAAGAGCTAGGCTTTTTATCCGCAGATGCTTTTTATCCGCAATCATCCCTGGGGGTCCCGGAGCCACTGATTGCCGAGGAAGGGAAAGGACAGATGGCTTTGAGTGCTCCGACTGATCTTCTGTAACTTTTCCCCTGCTTCACTCCTCTGTCCCCCTCCCCCGCCTATGGTCATGTCATGTGGGCATCGCGCATCACGTGCGCACTGACTAACCCCGGCGCTCACCCCGAGCCGGACCGAGGGAAGAGCCTCGGAAAGGATGCGTGTCAAGGCGAGCGGTTGTTGTCTTGGAGGATTCAGGAGAGTGGAATGGTTACTCGAATGTGCTTTACTAAGGGGTTGCCCTCGTGGAGTGGAAGTCCTCAGTGGTTGGGTCTTGTTCAGCTCCGGAGTTGGGGGGCGTGTTTTGGGGAGGAGTTTAATGAAAATGCCAGCTGGTTACCCGAAGGCTCTTTCAGCTCCACTCTGCTTTCGATGTCTGTGCCCCAAATGAAGGCTATATTGTTGGTCTTACCGTGGCTGGGGTCTCACAGAACTCTTTTTATTAACTCCTTATTTGTCCGAAAGAAAATTATGATTCCAAAGGAGGAAAAAAAAAAGGAACATAAAAGTTTTTGGGGAAAGCATCAGCTAGGATAAGTATGTCGTTGCTTTCCTCATGCGATTGCATACTTTTCTCCAAATTTGTGATGCACATTTCATATACGCTGTATATGTATATGTGCAGATAAATATTAATATAAGGGTATTTTTTGTGTGTGGCTGTTGTCTTTATATTGTTTATCTTGACTTTTAAGATGGATTGAGAATGGGATCAACTATCATAAAACTTACTCCGTGAGTTGCTCGCCATAAAACAGTTTTAAAAGTAAACAAAGTGAAAAAGAAGCCTCGGACAGTTTCTTTAATGTAAAATGCCATACAAGTAAAAGTTTACATTAGGAATGTAGCTGATGATTGAAGAAGGGCTAATATAAATATTAACATGGGGGCCAACAGAGCTGAAAACTGGATAACTGCAAAATACGCGTTAGGGAGGTAAATCTTGGTGACTTACAAGATGACAAACCTGAGGTTCAAATATAGGGATTTGTGTTGACATTCGATATCATGATACTATTTGAAGCAATAGAGATCAATGTAAAGTTCTGGCGTTAGGTCCAAAAATTTAACTAGTAATCATGTATTTGTTGCAAGATAATATGCTTGTTTTGAATTAAACAAGCAAGAGTATCCAAATAAGAGATGCATTGCCATACTATAGTTTGTAGTGATCAACATGTCTTAAATGCAATACATTACAAGCACTATGTTTTTAAACAACGACAGACAGTAACATTACTTAACAATAATGTGCCCAGACGAGAAGGAAAAGGAGATTTTGGGTAAGGTAGATGTATTTTATGAAATTCAGTGGAAAGACTTAGCTTGAAAAAAGTGAGGGCATGAAAGCTGTCATTAAACACTGAAAATCTTTCAAGTAAGAAAAAGGAACTCAGACTATCATCCTGTAATATTCCACAGAGACCAGCTAAAATCACCCTACAGAAAGGATGAAACAGCTTTCATTTGAAAGTAAGCTTTCTCCTGTTTAGTGTTCTTTTAAAATCCACTGGCTACACTGTGAGTTAATTAGACTATCATTGCAGTTGTTCAAGAAGCATCCAAATGACCATAGTCCATGAACATCATAGGGTTGATTCCTGGAGGCTCAAGCTACATATCATTTCAATCCTGCCATGATTTGGTCCAAGGTAGACCCAGAATAATTAAGCTTTTATTTATGTTTTATTGGGAAGATTATTGCTTTTAGAACTCATGGAGTATATACCCAGTAAAGTGCTATTTTTTGGAAAAATCACTTTTATTTCTATACTTTGTGTGGTTTTGTTAAGTGCCATTGAGTTAGGTTCCCATTCATAGCAACCCTGTATAGAGCTTCCTGGAGTAGCTGGTGGGTTTGAACCAGTGACATAGTGGTTCAAACAGACCTTATGGATCAGTCACTATATTGTTGTTAGGTACCATCGAGTCAGTACAGACTCATAGCGGCCCTACGCACAGTGGAGCAAAACATTGCCAGGTCCTACTCCAAACTCTCAATCATTGCTACATTGGAACTCATCACTGTTGCCACTGTGCCTATCCATCTCTTTGGGACACTTCCTCTTTTTCTCTGACCTTCCACTTTACCAAACATGATATCCTTCTCCAGGGATTGGTCCCTTCTGACAATATATCCAAAGTATGAGAGACAAAGTCTGGTCATCCTGGCTTCCCAGGGTACTTCTTCCAACACAGATTGGTTTGTTTTTCTGGTACTCCATGCTACTTTCAATATTCTCCTTCAACACCATACCTCAAATACGTCAGTTATTTTACGGTCTTCCTTATTCACGGTCCAACTGTCACGTGCATATGACGTTATTGAATTGACAATGGTTTGGGTCAGACGCACCTTAGTCTTCAAACTGACATCTTTGTTCTATATTAACTCTCAATTCTGGGCCTCACTGCTTCACTGATTATTATTTCATGAAGTTGTTCACAGAGCCCCTTAAAGTAACAGATTTACCTCCTGCATTGCTATTGACCAAAAAGAAAGAAAAATGCTTCTTTTAATAATGTTGTTGTTGTTGTTGTTAAGTACCATTGCGTTGCTTCTGACTCATAACCACCCTTTTAATAATAGATAGGTTTATTTTATGTATCATTGTATACAATGTCAAACTTTTAGATGATTAAATATAGTGCAGTGTGTCTTGGGTTTCACTACAGATTTGACTTGCTGGGAACACATTTAGAAACTTTTGACTCAAGCAGTTATAATACTATAGAGCTAATAAACTAGTTTAACTGATGACTGAAACATGGTTTGTTTAGTAGTTAAACTTTTAAAATATTAGCAAGATCATTTATTTTTTAAAAAATGATTCATACAGTGTGTATTATATGTTGTTGTTGTTGTCAAGTGCTGTCGAGTCGATTCCAACCCATAGCGACCCATAGAATTAGTTTTCTAATTCTTCCCTTGTAGCAAGGGCCAAATAATACCTATAGGGTTTCCATGGAGCAACTGGTGAGCTTGAACCACTGAACCTGTAGTTCAAACGACTTTGCAGTCTGATGCATGAACCCACAGCGCCACACCAGGACATCTAATCATAAGTAAGGCATATTTTCAAAAAAGAAATTCGAATAACAAGAATGTTGATAAAAATGTTTTAAATTATGGTATCTATAATTGAGGCACTCTAGTAATGTAGTGGTTATGAATCGGGCTGCGAACCGCAAGGTCAGCAGTTTGAAACTACCAGCTGTTCCATGGGAGAAAGATGAGGCTTTCTGCTCCTGTAAAGATTTAGAGCCTTGGAAACCCTGTAGAGGGTCGCTATAAGTCAGAACTGACTTCAAGGCACATAACCACCACCACCATAATGTATATGAAGGAGTCCTGGTAGTATAGTGGATTACAAACTGGGCTGCTAACTGCAAGGGCAGCAGTTCGAATCTACCAATTGCTCCTCCAGAGAAAGACGAGGTTTTCTCTTTCTGTAAAGATTTACAGTCTTGGAAACCCTGTACAGGATCACTATGAGTGGGAACCAACTCAGTAGCACACAACCACCACTACCAGTTTAATGTAAATGAAGGAGTGCTGGTGGTACACTGGTTAAAGGTCTCAGTTGCTGACCAAATGGTCAGTGCTTCCAATCTATCAACAGGTTCTTAGTAGGAAGATGCGGCAGTATGCTTCCATAAAGATTTACAGCCTTAGAAACTCTATGGGGCTGTTCTACTCTGCCTTGGAAGGTTGCTATAGATGAATCAGAATGGACTAGATAGTGGTGTGTGTTTTTTATAATGTAAAATAGTCACATAAATAAAAAAATGGAAAAAATAATATAAATATATAGTTTACCCTAATTTTATTTACTCATTTGACTTATTTTACATTAGTTAAAAACATCCTAGACAAACTGCCCCAAATGGTTTCCAAGACTATATGGAAGCAGATTGCCTCACCTTTCTCCTACAGGAATTGCTAGTGGTTTGAACTGCCAACCTTTGGGTAGCAACAAAGCACTTAAACCATTATGCCAGCCTATCTCGTAATTTTACATTATAGATATAATTTTAAATTATGATCTAAAAAGACAATGGTTTGCTAGGACTTTAACACATGCTAGAGAAGATAGATGCATCGTAGCTCTTCTACACTATTTAAAAATCCTTCAAGTATTTTACAATACCATTCAATTAAATTCAGAGGATTCCCCTTTTCTTAGGAGTCCTGGTATGGCACTGTGGGTTAATGCGCTGGACTGCAAGGTCAGTTTGAACCGCTAAGTCGGCAATTGAAACTCACCAGCCACTCATCCGAAACCCTATACAGCATTGCTATGAGTCAGAACCAACTTGATGGCACTTAACGGATTTTATCTAACACAGTGATAATTCGTATTAGAAAAATGTCATCACTAATAGTATATATCAGTACTATTTATTGACG